CGCCTTCGACGCGACCGTGCTTGAGCATCTGTGGCGGCAGGCGTCGGAGCATTGGTGTGGAGAGGGCTTGCAGGGCGAAGCCGACCTCGACTCGCTGCGGGCCACGGTGAAGATGCTTGATGCCGCGACTCGTGGACGGTCGCTGGCGTCCCTCCTCATCACCATCGCGGCGGGCGGCACGTGGCCTGGCTCGCGTCTCGAGGAGTCCTTCGACGACATCGACGGTCAGGACACCTGGTGTCCTCGGTGCCAGTGTTGCGTCGAGACCCCGATGCATCGACACTGGGAGTGCAGTGCCAACATCTGGTCCAAGGCGTACGAGCTGAGCGGGCACCTGGTGGGCAGGGCCATGGCCGAGGGCGACGCCTACCCGTGTTTCTGGTTGCGCGGGATGATCCCTGCGGCTTGGACGGCAGTACCCGAGCCTATGGATCATGATGATTGGAGCTACCTCGGCGTGGCCAACCTTGACGACGCGGTCCTCGGCACGGGCACGCTGCACCAGCCGCTCGCCCTATTTGGTGACGCTAGCGGAGGGGCCGACTCCAAGCATCCGCGACTTCGTCGGGTCGGTGTTGCAGTATGCCGGGTGTCCGCTGGCGCCGTGGACGTGGAGGCTGCTATCTTAAGGCCGCTGTCTGGCCCACGCCAAACAGTTCATCGTGGTGAACTTCGGGCCTTGGTGCTAGCCGCGGGCCACTCCCGTGGGCCGACTGTTTTCTTCACGGATAACTTGGCCGTGTGTGATGGATGGTGGGCTCGATTGGACCAACGGCCTACTGGTCCCGACAGCGACTTGTGGTACGCTTTGTCGCGAATCTTCCTGCAGCGGGCTCGTAGCGAGTTCTCTGTCGAGCACGTCAACTCGCACCTCAGTGCCGCGGAGGCGGCTGCTCGAGGAGTACCTGCAGAGGTGTTGCGAGGCAATGCCATGGCCGACGTCCTGGCGGGCCATGCTGCCAAGCAGTGCCGACTACCAGCGGATGTTCGAGCACGTGTGCGTGATGTGGAGTACATGGCCGCCATGGTGCGGTGGAGGCAATTGCGCTCGACGCTGGACGCCGCGGCGGCTCGGGACGCCAGGCCGTCCCAGCGCAGGAAGCGTCGGCCACGGCGCGTCCCACCAGCGCCACGAGTGGCAGCAGCCTTTTCTTCCCAGCATGTGCTTCATGCGGATGGTCGCAGTTGCCAGCGATGCCGTTGTTCCGCAGGGCACTCCACCCAGACCGAGTGGCTCTCCAGGTCGTGTGGGGGCTTGGTCGATGCGGAAGCTGGACTGGCCAGGTTGGGGCCCATTGCTGGAGGTGTTGATGGTGTTCTCAAGATTGCCGATCAGGATGTGGACAGCTCGCACACGATGAGGTGGCATCGAGATCTAGATGTATGGTTCTGCCGAACATGCGGGTGCTTCGCGCGTCCTGCCCTTCGCGCCCTAAGTCGTGGGCTGCTGGCTCCGTGTCTCGGACGACCATCTGACACGGGAAGCGTGTACTTGGACAGGCTGAGTAGGGGTCTTTGGCCCAAGGTGGGCGCACCTCAGGGGTACGTCGAGCAGCACTTGGACCTTGACGATGATGAGCACCTTCGAAGAGCCAGCCCTGGAGGACAGGTTGCACGGTCTGGTGCTCCGCAGGCGCGAGTGGCGGGCAGGTGGCCCAGAGCCTCGGCACCAGGACGGAGGCGGCGTCCGCGGCCGAGCTCCTGCAGGCCCGAGGGGCTCGCGCTGAGGCGACGGGCGGCCAGGCCCACTGCTGACGGCGCGGGCTTGCGGTGGGGCCGCGGGCGCAGCCCTGCGTCAGGCCCCGCAGTCGAGGGCGGGGCGAGGCGACGCCCGCGCTCCACCTCGGGGCCTGAGCTGAGGGCGACCTGCGCGAGGCTTCTGGCGGCAGCTCGGCGCCCGCTGGACGAGGTCGACGGGCCAGCTGGCAGCGTGGTGGCGCCAGCTGGGTTGGGCGCGGAGGCGCCTCCCGTTGGAGCAGTCAGGCGGTGTCGGAGCGCTTCGCCGTCCGGAGCTTCGCGGGCGACGCGGCCTCGCGTCGAGCCTCGTGCGGCCCCAGGCGGCGGTGCCCTTTTCAGTCCCCGCGCCGACCACAAAAGGGCACCGGGCATTGGCGATGTGCGGGCGGCTTGCCCAGCAGGGGCTGCTGGCGCTGGCGCGGGCGCCCGCGGAGGCGCTGCTGGCGGGGCTGCTGCTGGCATGGACGGCCTCCCCAGCCAGAGAGGTGGCGAGAGGAGCGACCCAGGGGGGCCAGTCCCGATGGGAGCGGCCCCCCAGGGTCCAAGTTGCGGATCAGGCAGTTGGGGGCACCCTGCGATAAATTGCCCCAGCGACCGACTTGGAGGACGACATCCTGCGCGCCAGCCTGGAGCGCACGGGTGTCCTCGCCAGTTCGACGTCGTCGAGCCCTTCGAGCAGGTGAGCTCCGTGGACGCGGCTGGCGGCGTCGGCAGCGTGTGGCCGACCGTCGGAACCGTGGACGACGTGGAGGTCGGGTCGGCCTTCGGCGACTACGACGAGGCGGTCTGCGAGGACCTCAAACGGGGCCGCTCCGCCGAGCGGCCGTGGCGAGGCGTGAGGCCGCGCCTGCTGGGCGCCGAGGCGGTGGCGCCGCCCGCGGCTCGGCGCAGGCGGGCCCTCTCGCCTCCTGGCGAGCGGCGGGGCCAGAGGGCGCGGCTCGGCGGCGTGGAGCTGCCGCCCGCTCCTGCCGCCCCGAGCTTCGCCGAGCTGGTGCGGCTGGCGGCGGGGGCGCCGCCCGTGCGGGGCCGCGCGGCTGGGCCTCGCTGGGCGGCCTGAGCGCCCGCCGCGGCCCGCGGCCGAGGCCCGCCCCGCGCGCGGCTCGGCCGTGGGCGTTCGCCCGACGGGATCTCCCGCCACGTCCCCCTGTGGGCGGGAGACGGTCGTGGCTACGCTCCGCCCGTGCGGGCGGCCGAGGGGCGCGTGTCGCGCGAAGTCCCCGCGGACTTCAGACGCTCGCCTTCTTGGGTCCGAATGCTCCGAATGCTCCCCCCCCTCTGCTCCCCCTCCTACTACTCTCCTCTGCCTCCTTCTCCTCCTCTTGCTTCTCCTCCACATCCTTCTGCCCCCTCCTCCTCCCTCATCCACCTCCTCCACCCTTCCTCATCATCCTCCCCCTGCATCCCCCTCATCCTCATCTTCGTCGTTCTCAGGGTCTGCGGCACCGGCCGTAAGGCCTTCGCAATGGGGCTCCACATCGAGCCGCATCATCTCCGATGCATCCGCGACGTGTCGCGATCCTCCGACCCCATCTACTGTCAGAGCAACGTGCAGCATAAACAGAAAGTTTCGGAGGTCGGCTCGGATTTCTGAGATCCTCGCGGGCCCCGCCTCCCTGGCGCGCCTCCTGCGCCAGGGGCTGTGCAGGAGGCGCCGCCGGGGAGGCCCAGGGACGATGCAAAACATCTGCGCGCAGCTCCGAAAGCTTACGTGTTATGCTGTTGTTGTGCTCCTCGATTTGCTTCGACCCCATCACGTAATCCTATAGCCTATACGGCCCGACCTAGGACAGAAGACCATCCTTCAAGATCACGAGACCCTCCGCTGGCCAGACTGAAGAATATTCAAGGGCACCCTCCCCCAGGATGCACAAGAAGATTCAACAACCACGAAGAACATTACGGTACCTTTTCTGAACCGACCTCGATCTTAAAGCTTGGTCCGGCCGTACCTCAAGGCCTCCCTTCCTTCACGGTGAGCGCGCGTCTCGCGCACGAGCGCCGCAAGCGCCTCGGCGCGCCTCCCGCTGGCCCGGGCCGGAGGCAGCGGACTCGCGCGAGCGAAGGAGCGCCCGAACGGGGAAGAGGGGGGAGGGAAGGGGAGGAAGAGATGGTGGAGGAGGAGGAGGAGGAGGAGGAGGAGGAGGAGGAGGAGGAGGAGGAGGAGGAGAGGGATGCGAGGTAGGCAGGAAGGGAGGGGAGAGAGGGAGCGGACAAGCTAGGTGCGCCCGCGCCATCCCTTACCATTGCGCTGTTCTTTCTCTATCCACAGACGCGTGCCATAGCGGACCTAGAACTCCAAAGAGAAGCCCATCGTGCTTTGCGCAATCGGAACAAATAAGAAGGAGCTGCGTACATTGGACATTGGAGGAGGTGGCGGCTGAGCAGGCGGGTAAGCAGGAGGGAAAGGAGGATGCGGAAGGAGGACGAGGACAAACAGCGACAGAAGGCGGAGGAGGGGAGATGAGGGGGCGACAACGATGAAAAATGACTCGGTTCTAGAAAAATGGCAGGCGCTCGGGCGAGACCGTCAGCCTGCACGACGGGAGTAAAACACTGATCCGAAAATGAGGCCCACGCCGCAGCGAAAACTGGTGAGTTTCGGGGGACGTCAGAAAAATGACGACCCCAATTGAAATTTGTTGCGAACTCCGGCTGCAAACACTGAACCGTCAAAATTCAAAACGGGCCCGTCAAAAGACGTCGGGAAACCCGAGTCTTGGCGAACTCGAATCTTACATGTTCCCGATCATTTGGGGGGGGAGAGCGGGGATGCCTGGCCAGGGGAAGCATACGACAATAGACACATTGTGAAGTTCCTGCGTGTAAGGAGAATTCGCGGAGAGGGCCGACGATCTTCTGGACAGAGTCAATGGGAGCGATGAGATAAGAGTTCAAAGCGTGAAATTGTGGAGGGGGGAGGAAGAAGTGGACTCGCCCGCGCGCGCGCGAGCGTCCGCGCGCACCGCGCGGATCCCGTGCGCCGCCGCGAGGAAAATCTGGGGCACGGCCTACAGAGGCTCAGGGAGGTCCCAGAAAGAGGTTTGCACATATGACTCTTCGTATGTATGGCCGACTCCGGGCATCATGGACCAACAAAATTGGCACCTCTTAGGGGGGCATCCGCCGGCACTGCCGCCGGCGCTGCCGCCCGAAGTGTACTTCCGCTGCCTTCTGCCGACCTCCTCCCGCCTTCCGAGATGGCCAGTCCCTCGATCCTCGCAGGCGTAGCTTTTTCTGGAACGCCGCATATGCCATGCTGCGTCTCAGCACACATATTTGTGTGTGCACGTGTGGGTACATGTTGCGCCACCACGGGTCTGAAAGCGCCGTGTCGGGATGCCGGGCTCGGGCTGTGTGTTTGCTCCCGGCGGCGCGCAACAATAAGGGGCGGGGGCGGCTGGCTGCTGAGATTCCGGGAAGGGTCCTCAGAAGGAATCGGCCCCCCCCTTCCGTCAGGAGGCTCTCCAAGGGGCTCTCACCCGGGCAGGGGGGCTCCTCGGGGGCGACAGCGGCGGCGAATAGACCAGGGGGAAGAACAATCCATGTATCCAGGGGCGCCGATGGTCCATGCCTTCGGCGAGGCTCCCTGGCGAACACGTGCAATGCACGCCCCAGAGCTATTCGCCTTCATCGTCACCTCCGAGCTCCGTAAGAGGCGGAGATTGGCGGCGCCCACAACGGGGTGGAGGGACGGGGAAGGGCTTCTCGGAGGCTGCTTCTTAGAAGGCGCGGGCCAGACATCCAGAGATGAGGCCCGCGCCTTCTAAGAAGTAGCCTCCTTCTGAGAAGCCTTCCACCCTCCCCCTTCCCTCTCTGCGCGTTGCCGAGATCTTTGGTGCGCCGCTTCAGGGGGCCGCGGAGACGACAAATCCAAGCGCGCAGGTCAATACTGGGGGCACCCTTGTGGGCCCACACTGGAGATCACTCTGGCGACAGATCAAAATCACTCTTGCAGGCAGAGCTGGGACAGAATAACATCCTTCAAGAACATGAGACCCTGCGCCGCCCAAGACACAGAAAATCCAAGGGTGCCCTCCCCAGGGTGCACAAGAACATGAAGCAGGCTCGAAGACTATCAGGGTACCCTCCCAGAGCCGACCTCGATCTCATAAGCCGACATTTGCCCATGATTCGTCGCAAATCTCTGGGCCTCCGCGCGGAAGCGCCGGGAGGCCGCCGGGGAACCTCCCCGACACAGACCCCCGGGGCCACCGTGCACAGGGCCGGGCACCTCCGGCAGCACCCCGACAACTGGAGACGCTCTTGCTCCTCGGGTCCTGAGGGCGCTCCCTCCAGCTCCTGACCAAGGCTTTTCTCTTTCGATGCCGTCAACTCGTTGACCAAGGACGCATGAGAAGGGTGCAAGGGCCTTGGAAGGAGACGTCGACGCTTTGCGAGCGGGGCGCGGCCAGCGACAGCGGCCAAGGATGTGCCGAGGGGGACGGGTGCAAGAGTAACCTTGGAAAGTCGCTCATCCTGACTATGCGGGTTGATTGTACGGGGTACGGGGTGCCTCCGCTCCATGTGGTGTCGCTCCCTCGCTCTTCTCGATGAGACCTAACACGCTCGAAAACTGTCCCTCGGGTCGATGACACCTCGCCTCTCCGGGTGGCGCTAACTCCGCTCCATCCGATGTCTTGATGTTGTTTCGCAACGGGGTCCCCGGGCAGTCTGGACCCTTTCCCCCAATGCATCCCCGCGAGGGCCCTCCCGAAATTCTGGTGCCTTGGGAGCGAAACACAGCGAACACGCAACCGCTTTGTTTTTTATGTCTCAGAGCGCTGAAGGTCCTCGGAGGCTCCTCGAAGGTTGTCCTCAGCCTCTGGGAGATGCCGAAGCCGAGAGGGCACGAGGCACCGCAGGCTCCATGGAGGCCGCCAACATTGGGTCCGAGCGGATGGGGTCGGAGGATTGCGCCGCATCACCGATGCCTCGGCGATGCGTCGGCGAGGTCGGGACGGATCAACTCGGGCCCCGAATCGAGCCCTTATCGATGCATCGGCGATACGGCGCGGTCCAACGACCCCATCCATCCTCGAGTCCTCGAGTTTTCTTTTGTATGCCGCACCCTTCCCGCATCAAGCAGATTCCACCGCCTGGGGCCAGGTTTCGATTGCAAAGGCCACGTCCCAGTGAGGGCGCTTTGGATTCCAAACCCAAGACCATGACCCTCGCCCAACCCTTTAGGGTTTTTTGTGCACAATCTGTATTTTCTCCGGCGGAATCGATCGACCTCGACCCCTTTTCGGGCGCCCCAGACTCCAGGCGCTCCGCTCCGCTAGCCAGGGGGCGGCTCGCCGTCCCAGGGGTGCGGGCCCAGCACCTCCACGCCCAGCCCCGCCCCGCCAGGGCGCCCAGCCTGGCCCTCCTCTCGGGGGGGGACCCAACGGGCAAGATAGCAAGAGGCGGGGTAGAGAATCAGCTCACGCAGCTCGCTCGCCTGGCGCCTCCTGGCGCCGGGAGGCGCCCGTGTATCGAGGAATGGGCCCGGCGGCGGGGCGGAAACCAGCTGCATGCAGCAGATTTCGCACCCCCCCCTTTCCCCATTCCCCCCTTTCGTCCGCCCCGATCCTCCACGCGGCCGTCGGGCAGAACCCGAAGAGCCGCTCCCGGCCGCAGGCCCTGGCGCTTCAGGGCGCGCTCCAGGTCCTCGAGCGACGCCTGCGGGGCCATCCCAGGCGTGCTCGCGTCGTGAAAAAATCAAGACGGGAGGTTTTTCTCCGTTTTCGGCCTCTGGGGGCCCTCACCAGGCCCCAAGATCGTCAGGGAACGACTCGGGATAAAAACCGGTCCTGAGGAAAGGGTCGAGACTTCAGAGGACCCGTATTGAGAAAATCAGGACGTCGCATGTCTGGGACGATAGGGGGGGGGACTGGCACAAGGGGGGGGAACATCGACCTGGAAGCTGCGATACATCGCCAACAGACCGGCGATGGGCCCCCGAGAGTGAATGCGCCCGTTCCTGGGCCGGGATGGGCCATCGGACCCCCATCTACGACGACTGGGCGGTTGGGGGTCGAGGCGTCCCCCCCCCGAGCCTGCCCGCCCCCAACCGTTGCCCCCGAGCCCCGCCTCGTCCCCCGGGGCGGGCACCGCTACGACCCGGCCCGCCGCGCCCGTGCGGTACACGCGGCAGTCCCTGGCGCGCCGCAGCAGGGCCCAGCCGCCCCTCGTCTCGGCACGAGAGGAGCGGGTCCCGAGGCCCACGGGCCCCCGGAGCCCGTGGGGCTCGCCCCGTCGGGGGCCTCCCAGGTGGGGGTCGGCACAGATGGGATGCATCTCGCCGCGACGCCGATACATCGGCGACGCATCGTCGATGCATCGCCGACGTCGGCGATTCAGCGGCGACGGCCGCGTGCTCAAGATCGGGCTCCACATCGAGCCGCATCGCCGATGCATCGGCGATGCAGCGCGATCCTCCGACCCCATCTGCTCGGACCCCATCTGGGAGGCCGAGACCCATGGACCAACCGTTCATCCTGAGCAGTTTCTGGACGGTCCCTGGGCCCTGGGGAGGGCCTCAAGGCCTCGAAAGCGTCGACAGAGCTCCAGGACTAGCTTTACGCGGGAGGCAACTATACCACCGCCGTGCCTGGCCAGTGCCATGGCCCTGGCATGGCCAGGGTGTGCATGTTAGAAGAGCATCATCAACAACTATCTGAGATCCGCGCGGATTTCTTGGCTCGGCGCTGATACCCCTCCCTGGCGCGGCGCCAGAGGCGCCGCCAGGCAAGTCCAGCGCCGCTCCAAGAATAAGACTCCGCGCGGATGTCCAATAGTTTATGCGTATCAGGTGAAGACAACCGAAGCCTACCCCACGAATCATGGATTCCCCTGGATCGATGGGAAGCGTGGGTAGAATTCGGATTCCGCCCCGTGTTCGACTTCGGAACCCTACCCCCCGCACCCATCGAGCTGCCCGAACCGTTGATCGGCGAGGGTAGGGTTGAGATGTCGTCGCCGATATATGCACATGTGTCTTCCTCGACTGATGCCTCCTGTGGGCCTTCCTCAGGAGCAGCCTGTGGACGCTCCCCTCCATGACCTCCCCTTCGATGATGTTTAAATCGCCATGGGGCTCTCATTTTCCCGCCTTCAAAATCGTCGTTTCTGATTATGTTTGGGTCTCAAAATTCTCCATTCTGGGCCAGGGCAGCTGTATGGGTGTATGAGTACCTCTTCCTCCCCTGAGATACAATCGAAACCGAGAGTAAGGATTGAGCGACTTCGCCAGGGAACCCTTGCAGCCTTGCCTCTTCGGCCATCTTCAGTCACTTTCGATGGCAGCCCCGCTCGAAGCGTCTCAACATGAGCGCGCAAGGCATCCTTGTAATCACTCCTTCCCATGCCGAAACCTCTGCGCCGCAGGCGGCTCCTCGGCGGCTGCCGGCCGCAGCGGCCGCGGCAATAGCTGGGCCACCAACTCGGCCGCGCCAGCGAGCGGCGCCTCGGGCTCGTAGGAGCCGCCGCTGCCGAGGCTCAGGGTGTCCCAGTAGTCCTGGGGGCCTCCTCCTCCTCCTCCTCCTCCTCCTCCTCCTCCTCCTCCTCCTCCTCTCCCTCGTCCTCCTCCTCCTCCTCCTGCTCGTCCTCCTGCTCTCTCCCGCCACCGCTGAGCCTCTCCAGAAGACACCGGAGAGCCCCGCCCACCTGGCAGCCAACTGCAACGACTAAAGCCCGCATCTGTGCAGAGAAGCCCGGCCAACGGTGTGGAACGACCAGGTAAACATATCCCAGCTCGCCAGCAAGAGCCCCAGTGGGGACCCAGAGCAGGCTGCGTCGGAGGATCGCGCCGCACTGCCGATGCATCGGCGGCGTCGGGATGGCGCCGATCGGGCCAGGCCCTGCATCAAGCAGCACCAGCGGCGCGATCCTCCGACCCCACCTGCTAGGACACCAAATGGACGGCCTGTGGGGAAACCAAACGGTACCGACGCCGCTACTCCTCGGACCTCTCCCGGGGTGCGTCCTGACCAGCATCTCGAGGCGAATCCAACGGTGGCGACGAGGGCCTCCCCGGAGGCCCGAAAGGGAGAAGACGAGGGAAGGGCAGCGGTATACCTCTGCCTCCTCCGAGGAGCAGTCCCGCTGGCTCAGCACCATGGCGTCGCCGTCGATGACGTACTCCGAGACGCCCGTGAAGAGGGCCTCTGCGGGCGCGGCCAGGCCGACCCCTTCTGTGGCGGCACCCTTCGCCCTCGAGGCCCCTCGGGCGGCCGCCCCCACCCACGTCGTGGCCTGGGCCGACGCGAGGGGCGTCGTCGCGGGAGGGGCCGGTTGGCTGCGGGCAGCCCGCGTAGGAAGGGCGCGCGACGAGGATGCAGGGGCCCTGGAAGGCCATGCTGACGCTTTTCGAGCGAGGCCGGCCAGCGAACGTCGCGAATGATTTCATGCAGCGCAAATGCCTCCAGGAGGGCTAAAGAGTCCCGAGGCCCCGGACCGACGATGGAGATGCCACCCCTGCGGCACTAACGAGCTCCACAGGCACAGCATGCGAACATGGCGCAGGCACGCGAAGGCGGCGCGAGCCGCCACTGGCTCTCACCACTCCAGCGAAGACAAGTCGAGGGCCCTGAGGCGCTGTGGCGGAAGAAGGCGATGTTAAACAACTCGCATGTCCTCAAAGTGGGTCGAAGGGGAAGGATGCAAGTGTAAACCTGGCAAGTTGCTCATCCTTACTATGCCGGCTGACTGCAAGGATGATCGACGTCCCGAAGGAGTGCAGTAGGTTCGTGCGGCGTCGGCGCGCGCAAAAACTTTTGACATCGCGTCGATCGTTCAACCTTGAATCGATCGCGGCCCTGATCGTTCAAGGTTGAATTTCGTCGGGTCCAGTGGCGTCACCGTGTCCTTCGGTGCTTCTGCGTCGCAGAATTAAAACTTGAACGCCTTCGCCGGCGTCGCCAGCGCGCCAACGCCGCATGAACCAACGCCAACGCGCGCCAACGCCGACCGTACCCTTGCATTCTGCGGTCGATTCTTCGGTCCGTCATCAGCGACTTTCGATGGCCAGCCCCGCTCGAAAAGCTTCGGCATGGGCGTCAAAGGCCCCTTTCGTCCTGATCGCGCATCCTTACTATCAGTTTTGACTGTGGGGGTTCGTGAGGTCGCCCCTGACCTTTGGGGCCCACGGCAGCAGCTTGAAGGTGAAGCCCAAGGTCCAGCGCGTCCGCAGCCGCCGATCATCGCCAGGCACATCCTCCACAGAGTGGAGATCGATGTAGCCATCGCTGAACAAGATGTTGCCGACGAAGCTCTCCCCTGACAACATCGCTACATTCCTGCCGTACGCCTCCTTGCCCTCTAGATTGTTCAGAGGGTCTGTGAAGGTCACGGCCTCGGAGTAGAACTCGGACTCGAAGGGCTGGAAGAAGCTCCTGTACTCCCTGGCCAGGCACTTCTTGAGCGCCTCCTTCTTCTCCAAGTATGCGGCGTCCCCGTCCTCGGTGGAGCGTGGATGCTGATGCTGGCACTCCACGGACCTCTCCCGGGTGCATTCCAGGGCGCGAGCTGAACAATGCTTCCCGTGATCGACTTTGCTCTCGTTCTCTGCCGTTCTGTCTTCGCTCCGCCCGCGCGCTGCAAAACGAAGTGAAAACGAAATGTATCCACGGAATCACCCGAACATCGCTTGTTGGCGGCGCGCGCAAGGCGGCACGGGGAGGGGTGGCATGCTTCTAAGAAGGAAGCTGCCTCTCCGAAGGCGACAGCCCTACATCCACAGACACGGCCCACGCCTTCTAAGAAGCAGGGGTGCTTGTAAGAAGTCTTCCTCCCGCCCCCCACCCCCCCTCTTCACGTGGCCGAGTTTAGCGCGCGCCCAGGTGCCTCCCGACCAGGCGTAAGAGGCGAACCCCACCGCGGCGACGACGGTCACCCCACCCCTGCGGGAGGTCCGCGGAGGCGAGAAAACAAGGGAGAGGCACTGCCGACCGGTGCTCTACGACGCGTCGGAGGACAATTTTGGGGGGGAGGGAGAAGATGGGAGCGGGCACCGACCGATCCACTGCCTCTCACGGGGTCCCTAACACACGCGTCGGAGGACAGCGTGTGTGTGTGTGTGTGTGTGTGTGTGTGTGTGAGTGTGTGTGTGTGTGTGTGTGTGCGTCCTGGTGGTGCGTGAAGGCTAGCCCGCCCTGCACCTTGCCGTGTCCTGCGCCCCGCGCAGCTGCGGGCTCGGCAGCTCTGGGACTTACCCGGCCCGTTGTTCGGGGGCTGCACGGGCTGCAAGGCCCTGAGAGGCGGCCGCGTGTGCGTCAAGGGATGCTGGTTTAGCGGCGGTCCCAGTTTTCTGAGCTCGCTGGAGGTCGAGGCCACGGTGCCTCCCACGCCTCCAGGGTCGGGGGCGCAGCAGCAACCGGCGCTAGGTCATGACGGGGCTCACGCTCGAGCGTTTCGGCCCCCCAGCCGCTGGACGCCCATGTGGATTCCTTCTTCCCGCGCGCGACCAAAATCGCGTGTGCGCTTCTCCCCAAGACCTCCGTTTTAGGATCTTGCGATGGGTACGGACAAAAATGAGCACGAGACCAAGAAACCGACGGCGGCCGCTGTTGGGCAGGCTGCCTTCTGCCTCAAGCCTCTCGTGGACGACGCCCGGGGCGACGCCAGCAGCGATCCCGGTTCAACACGGTCAATCAGTGCTGCTGGCCTTCGTGCCCATTGTTTGCGCACTCACACCGACCGTACCGATCCGTGACGCCGGCATCCGCGACCGCCGCTGCGCCATTGGCGGCCGCGGCGCACCGCGGAACGCCTCGGGCGTGGAGAAAGGGAGGGACGAGTACTGGGGGGGGGTGAGGACAGTGCACCTGTTGTGCCCGACAGGAGCTCAAAAGGAGCCCCCATGGGACCCAGGAGGGGCACGGAAGGTGCACGTCCCCCCCCCCCACGGATCGCCCCCCCCCCTCCCCCTGAATTCACACCCGAGCGTCGACGCGGCCTGGGGCGCCGGGCGCCCGCTGCCCGCCCAGCCAGGCCCGGCCGCCCGGCCGCGCGGGGGCCCAGGCGCCCCAGCGCACGGTGTGCCCGGCGGCGCCCAGGGCCACGGCGGCCCCCAGCGCGGCCGAGAGGGCCCTGCCGCCGGCGCCTGGGCGCCGCGGCGCCGGGCGGCGCCGCATGGGCGCCCCACGAAGGGGGGGCGGCGGGGCACACCTGGAGGCCCAGACGTGCTCGCGCGCGTCGTGGGAGAATGGCGGCGGGCAGGTGCTTCTGGCGCTTCTCTGCCTCGGAAGGCCCTCGCGGGGCCGCGGGGCTGCCAAAGCACGGCTCAGCACGACACACCGGTCCTGGGGAAGAGACCCAGTTTTTCCAGGGACCCCGCACTGACAAAAATCAAGGCATCGCGCATCTGGGCGCGGGTCTTAGCTGGATCGAATCGCGAGGTCGGGGATCGACCGAAAGACGGATCGGCACGGGGTCGGGTCGCTTGAGATCGCGGATCGGGCTCGGCCTCTGCAGGCTGGAGAGGGGGTCCAGCTCGCGTCGGATCGGATCGGATCGAAATCGGAATCAGAACTTGGGGATCGGATCAGATCGAATCGGACCGTGAGCAGCCCTGAGAGGCCGCGGCCCTCGAGGCCTTCGAGCCCGGAACCACCGTGGAGGTCGTCGAGGCACGATCCCAGAAGCACTCCCGCGGCGGCGGACATGACAGGCGCGGCCGCGCGTGCAGGGTGAAGCAGAATGAATGACGCGAAGGTGATGGCAAAAGGCGGACGTGGGCTTAAAGCGTGAGGAAGCCGAAACGGTACACGCAGAGGCATCACCATCGAGCGGAAGGCAGCGCATGCAGCTCGCAGAGAGGAATGAGGTCTGGGCGCCACGGAGGCCAGCGGACTGTTGGCACGTGCAAGAGTCCAGGCGATACCACAGGGGGTCACCAATGGGGGAATCGCCACCGGAGATGAGTCGAATTCGAACCAGCTGGTCAGAATCCCAAGCAATTTAGGGGCAGAGCCCAACCACCTGGTACCAATCCCGACCAGGAGAATTGTAAATGTTTCCAGTGACTCTGCATGACCCCCCTCAGGAAACCCATTGGAAATCCTCAGGGTTCACCTGGGTTCCTTACAAATTAGTCAGGACTCCTCATGGTCCCCGAGGACATGGGAAGATTTCAGAACTCGGAAGAAAATGTTCAGAACTCTTGAGTACGTCCTCGAGACTATTCTGGACATCTTGAGGATTCCCCCCCGCAGAACCATCCAAACCGCCCAGAACTGACCAGAACGTCAACCCTCAATCTCCCTTCCTCCTCGATCATTGCTAATTGGGAGGTGGCGACGAGCAATCTGCAGACCGCCATCTCTGAAAATGGTACGGACCTTGATGCGTCCTTGCCTCCTCCAACCTTGCTAAGGAGGAGGGCCTCTCGTGGAGCGCAGAGGAACGCCCCATCGACCAGAGAAGTACGGCGACGACGAGGCGGAAGAAACAGATCACGCGAGCGGAAGGGTGGGATGGTGATGACGACGATGACGACGAAGACCCAAACACACGACGTCGCAACATAACCACGTCGCCGTAAACTTTCAGACGAAGCCAGGACAAAGACAAATTCGGGTGAGGATAAATCGGGAATCTCTCAGATGAGGCACCTCTGGAGGATGGCTTGGGCGCCGCGGCCCTCCCAAAGCGTTGGGAATCTCTGCGAGCGCTCCGAAGCCCTCTGGAACGAATTAATTTAGCCTCGTCCGTCCGATCCGGAATTACGAACAAGACTGTCAAGGCCGTCGTCCTGCTCTGTTGACACCTGGCTGGACCGGTCTGTGAGGGCCCCAGGATCCGAGGAGAGGTGGCCGAGGCGCGCGTCGCCTGCCAGAGTCCCAAGATGCCCCGCGAGGTCCGCCGAAAGCCTTTCCAGGCCCTTCCGTGGCCTCCGAGAGGCCCTCGGGGGCCCCAGCAGGAGCGACCTCACAGCAGGACCTCGACCACACGAAGCCTTCCACAAGAAACCCAACCCTGAGACCACAGGACGTCCATTGATTTTTGGTGTGGGGACGCCACGCTTTCCACAGCAAAACCACCGAAACAAAGAAACCCAGGGCACCCTGGAGGCAAGCAGGGTGTTTCTTGCCATGAATGTCCAGTGTATGGGCAGGAGTGGCCTTTGGTGCGCGGATGTCGGTCGGGCGTTAGCAGGACTGGGTTTAGTTGGGCCTGGTTTACACATGTGTACGGGGGGACGACGCCCCCCCCGCCCCATTCCACTAGCGGGAACTGCCGTCACCCGCGAAACACCAGCTAGGACAGACCGACCTGGTGTGCGGATTCCGGTTCATATTTTGGACTTCGGGACACAATCACTAACTGGCTCCCCGTAACTGAGGTTCTGGCTATACCCGATAAGGGAGCGCAAGGTGGCCAAATCCAAGCCCGCAAGCAGCCTCTGTCGCATCGCGCTCAGCGACCAGGGGGTCCCATTGAGCCCACACCGAAGGTCACTGTGGCGAAGGGTCACTTTTACGTGTAGCCGATCCGAAGCCCCATCAAGAGGACAGAAGGCGGGAAGGCGGCCCACTCCCTCTGCCATGCAGGCGCGCTCGGCCGTCCACCAAGGGCCTCTCCTGGAGCGCGGCCTGGCCAGGATTTCGAGAAGGATCCAGCCGTAGCAGGATCAGTCAGAATCGAACCAGGAGATAAGACGCAGCCAAGACGAGGAACAACTGGGTGAGGATAAATCGAGAATCTCTGAGATCTGGCAGATCTGGAGGATGTCTCGGGCGCCGCGGCCATTTCAGAGCGTTCCAGAATGCTATGAGAGCGTTGTGGGATGCTCTGGGACGGATTTATCATCGTCCGTCCGTCGCCGTCGCTGACCCGTCGCCGCCTCGTCGCGGCCCGTCATCTGACTCAGAATGTCGGTCCGGCGGTAATGTTGCACAACATAGATTGGGCAACATAAGCTGCACCACGTAAATTGCACCATATGAGTTGCATCACATAGATTGCGCCGCATAGGTTGCACAACGTAGATTGCATTTCGCAGGTTGCAACACATGGATGTCACAACACATGTTGCTCCATATGACTTGCATCGTACATTTTCCACACATTGAACTGCATAACGTAGGTTGCATATCGTCTGTTGCACCGCATAGATCGCACAGCGTACATTGCATCACGTAGATTGCACCACATATCTTATCCCATATAGATAGCGCCGCATCGATCGTCTGGGTTCCACTCTAACATGTTCTGAGGACCTGGCCCTAGGCGCGCGCTCTTGCGAATTCTGAAAACAACCATCGGTTTTTCAACATTGACATCACATGATGCCGACCGGTTCTCCCGCGCCGCATGTCGAACTCATCTGACCGCCCTTGCGCGCGTGCTGGGCGAGGGGGGCGCGACCCGTGTCAAACAACACCACGCGGGCCACTTGCGCGCGTCGGCCACACGCGCACGTTGAACTCCTTCCAAAACCTTCATCGTCGACGCGAGGGCATCGTCATCGCTATCGGCGGGAGTGATCAACATCGGCGCGGTCATGGGCCTAGCCGTGGTCATCGCCACCATCGTCACCATCATCACCCCCCTCATCATCGTGTCTACCGTTGTCGGCGTCGCCATGATACAATGCCAGCCCAAGTCGCCGACTCGCACTGAAATGCCTTCTGGTAAATGCCCAGCGGTCAACGCCACCGCGGCCGCGTTGGTCGCGCCGCACTAGCTGGCCGCTACGCGCGCGAGCATGTGTGGGCTAGCCCGGCCACAGATGCACCAGCCAACGCCAAGCAATCACCGCAATCGCCGTCGCATGGGTTTTGCAAACCAACTTGTGGGTGGGTGGGTGGGATGATTGCGCGAGCAATGGAGTTGACAACTCACTGCGAGCATTGGTGAGTTGCACCTCGTAGATTGCACAACGAAGACTGCACCACATTGGTTGCTCTACATAGACAGCACTACATATAGACTGCTAGAAACACGCTGTTTGGGATCCACGCTGGATCACACATTCCGCACAGGCAACCAAGACAGTCCCAGCGGGCCCCAAGACGGCGCAAGAGTTCTCCAAGACGCCGAAACTGGCCTCAAGATGGCCCAAGAAGCCCTTACGATGCTTGCTGTGCCGTTGGTGTTTTTCGGATTTCATTGTTCTCGCCATTTCGGGCTTCCGACGCTCCAAGACGGCCCCATACTCCAGAGGCTCCCAAGGTCGCCCCAAGACAGCTCAAGAGGGCCCCAAGAGGCCCAACAGACGGCCTCAAGGCGGTCCAAGAGGCGACAACTCGAAGTGACACTTCGAGCCCTCCGTCCCAAGAGGACCTCCGAGACGGCCAGCAAACCTTCACGAGGCCCCTAAGAACCTCAGGATGCCTCCAAAAGGCCCAGAAGGGGCCGAAGGAGCTTCCGAGAGACTCCGAGACACAACACAACCGCGTCCAACAAGCTTCCGAAAGGCCTACCAAGAGAACCCCGTATGCATCCAAGAGGCATGTGACCTACAACCCAGGCGCGGTGGCGAGGTGGGACGAAGGCCACTAGATCCACCGCCCCCTGATGATTTATTACAGAGGTACCTGGCGTGGTAGACTTCTTAGAGGTTTCTGGCTCTTTTCAAGACTCCCCCTGGGGCGTCGGCCCAGCGCGCCGGCAACCCGGAAGACCAGGTTGCAATATTTGTTCCTGCTCCAGATGGCTCCCAAACGGCCCAATATGGCCTCGAAATTCGGCCTAAGAGAGTCCAGGATGCCTCCAAGTTGCCTCCAGAGGCCCCCTCTTCTTCCTCCTCCGCCTTCTCCTTCCTCTCCTTCTCCTTCTCTTCCTCGCCCTAGTGTCTCCCTAGTGGTTGGGGATCGCAGCGGCTGGGGGAACACATAGTCAAATAGCTTGGCCTGACTTCGGATCAACGTTTGGCCGCACAGGCGTTAGCCAGGGGCGGCGGTGATTCGCCCTAGGCGTCTTCGATCCGCAGCCCCCTGTGGTGTTGCCACATGGGTGCACGGCGTGCCAAATGTCTGGGAAGTTGTGATTCTTTTCTAAAGAACTGCCCCTGGTGCTTCGGCCCAGCCAGCCGGACACATGGAAAGCTTACCAGAACCCGGTTGGCAATGATGTTTCCGCCCAAGATGGCCCCAATACGCCGCCAAGACGGTCTCCAAGACGGCCGGCCACGATGGCCTCAAAGATACCTCCAAGATGGGCACGACGATCCCAAGAGAGCCCAAGATAGCCCTAAGATGGCCTACAAGACGGTCCCAAAACACCTCCAAGACCGCTAGGACAGTCCAAGAGAGCCCACGACGGCCCAAGAAGCGCCCATGAGGCCCCTAAGACGGCCCAACAAGACTCCAAGAGGTCCTCAAGGAAGGCCAGAAGATGCCACAATCATGTAATTGTTTGTTTGAACGATCTTTGCGTTTGCTTCAAAACGACCTTCCGATGACCTTCGGGCGGCACAAGAGGCTCCCAAGGTTGCCCCAAGATCGCCCAAGAGGCTTCTAAGATGGCCACAGCACTGCAGACGCTCCAAAGACGGCCCCCAGAAACTGCCCCAAGACGGCCCAAGAGGCCTCGAAGACGACCCTGAAGCGCCCGAGGGCACGAAGACGGCCCATTGAGATAACCGAGACAGCTTCCGACGGCGTCAGACGGGCCAGGAACGCCATAAGACGGCCAGAGAAAAGAGGCCCCCAAGAAGCCCCCAAAGGCTCCCACGAGGCCCAAGGAGGCCCCAACGAGGCATCCCAGAGGCCCCCAGAAAGATCCCAGGAGGTCCCAAGAGACCCAAGAGGTCTCTCCATCCTTCTCGTAATCTCATTTTTCCCTCCCTCATCCTCCTCTTCCTCCGCCACCTGGTACCCGAGAAACTTCCACAACGGCTGGGGAAGCACATGATCCGATAGCGCGCGTCTTCCAAAAGACAAGGGGCGGCGGTGGTTCGCCGTAGGCGTCTGCGATAGATTTCAGGATGCGGTTGGCGTTGGATAGGTTTTGGGAGTTCTGGACCTTCTAACTGCAGTCGGCCATTCGTACTCAGCCGTTCGTCTCTAGCCGCGCGGGACACGCAGAAAACCTGGAGATCTTGAAACGCATCATTATTGCTACTTCTCGCTCCGCTGATCTTCCTCCACCTGCTCCTCTCCCTCCTCCTCCTCCTCCTCCTCCTCCTCCTCCTTCTCCTCCTCCTGGCCAGTCCACGAGGATCTCCATCATGCTGGGCTTCACGCCCCACCACTCGTCGAAGCCCAAGTAATTCTGCGCGCGCGTGCGAACACACGTGTGCACATGGCGTGACGGAAACGGGCCCTGGCGACAACGGGTCCTGGGCCCCAAGGGCCATCTCACGGGACAAAGCTGTTCATCCATGCTCGTGCTCTGACGGTCCTGGACGGCCCAGGAGCGACCTCACCGAGGCCTCGAGATCGGCGAGAACCTTCCGAGCCCCCTTTCCTTTTTCGGACCCTCTGATCGGACCAGCTTTTCCCACGGGACAGGCTCTTCATCCCGAGTCGTTCTCTCACGCGCCCCGGGCCTGGAGACGGCCTCCCCAAGGTCGAGAACGGCGAGCAACTCCTTGGGCTGGAGACCCTTTCCCCTCAGGACCCCGGCCACGCGTGCGGGAGCGAGCGGCAATCGCGCGGAAGCAGCGGCAAGTACTGGTGCAGTCCCGCGCGCGCGGCGGGCGTGCGGCGGGTCGCGCGCGAGACTGCGCGGAGGGGTCTGCGGGCGCGCCCTGCAGCTGGGCAGAGGGGCCTGCCTGGGCCGTCTGGCATCGCGTCGCCTGATGTCGGATGAGGATCCAGACTTTGTATGTGTGTGTGTGTGTGTGTGTGTGTCCGGTGAGGGATGCGGGGCCCCCGGGGACGAAGCCCATCGTGGCCCCCCATCGTCGCCCCCGATCGCGGACTGTGTAAAGCTGTTGGGGATCTGCTGCAGCAATGGTGTCATGTTCTATCCTCTTAGGGGATCAGGAAAGCACGGGGCAAGCTATATCAAGCATGGCTCTCTGCCGCTGGGAAGGATTCTGGAGAACGCTCAAATTCGCTGGCCCAACGGGCCAGAGGCGTGCTGAGCTATCCGGCAACAAGTTTAGAACGCTTGCAGTTCGCGCGAGCGGGGCGGCCTCTGGGCGCCCCCAGACGAAAAGTACCCCAGCAAGGTCCTCCGAAGAATGCTGGAGCTCCCCAGGGCGGTCTCTCCCCCCCAAAAACAATCCCCTGGGCGGTCTTCTGGACCCCAAGACGCCCACAAGACGGTCCAAAAGGGCTCCGAATCGTTGACCGGCTGGTTCAAGACGCCCCAGAAGGCCTCCAGTCAGCCGAAACAGCGCCCAAGATGTCCCACGAGGGACATTTGGTTTCTTCAGCGGTTCTTGAGTTCTCCACTTTTCGAGCTTCCGACGCTCCAAGACGTGCCAAGAGGCCCCCAAGACCCCTCCAAGACGGCCCCAGAGGCCCCCGAGAGTGCCCCAAGATTGCCCAAGAGGCTCCCAAGACAGCCCAAGAGGGGCCCAAGAGGGGAAACACGAACTGAAAATCAGAGCCACGATCCCTCGTCAGTTACCCTGGGTTCGCGCCTCTAGGGCCAGCATCCCTCGTCAGTTACGCTGCGTCCGCGCTTCCAGGGCCAGGATCCTTTGTAAATTACGCGGCATCCGCGCTCCCAGGACTACGATCCTTGGTAAATGACGGTCCGACCTCACTCCCAGAACCACCTGGGCATTCTGGGGCGCCCAGGCCTTTCAAGCGCTGCAGAAGAAACGTTTCGCCCGAGACATCTTCAGACATTCGACGAGCAGGGTGCGCCATCCTCGAGCGGGCACGCAAAAAAAACAACATTCCTTATGTAAAACAAGCGCGGGGCTAGAGGCATCCTCGAAATTTATGCGCGTGGGAAGCGCCATCCTCGAGCGGGCACACAAACAATCAACTGTTCCATGTTTCTTTGTAAGAAGTTGAGGGCCTCCATATTAATGTATTATCAAAAGGTTCTGTGCAAAACGCTCCGCATCACATTATGTTACAACGGACAACGTGTCTGGGGCCTCCGCTATTTATATGAGGATCCCAGATCGAGGGCACATTTTCCTCGAGCGAGCACGCGCGAAACGTAATTTTCACAACGAATCAAGCTTTACCTTGGTATTTATCACGAATAACTAATTCTGGGGGTGAAACCCTCTAAAACAAAACCCTGGACTGGAGCCCTCTCTGGGAAAAACCTCAAGACTCGTTTCCCTCAAGACCCGTGACCCCCATGGCGAATAGACGCGGGGCCGCCGCACGGCGCAAGCACCGCACCACGCAGCAGGACCAGGAGCTCGGACGCCGCCGCGGGCCTGCGGCCACGGGCTCCTGGGCCCAGGAGCTCGAAGGCACGGAGCCGTCTAAAAAAAATATATAAAATAAAAAAAAGAAAAAATACAAAAAAAAAACGAAGGCACGGAGCCGTCTAAGCATCGGACCGACGACAAGTAGGGGCGGGTCGGAACGAACATCGAAACGATGATGATGGTGATGATGGCGATGGTGATGATGATGGGTTAATGGCGGTGATGATGAGGATCCTCAACGCCATCACCAGCAACACCAACATACATATTTACATAAATACATGTATGCATGCATGCATGCACCCATACCTACCTACCTACCTACTTACCTATCTGCCTACCTACCTACATACATACACACATACGTGCATACAAGCATACATACATGCATACCGTCATACACACATTACATACATACATCCATACATCATCAAAATCCTCCTCCTCCTCATCATCATCATCATCATGATCATCATCACCATCAATATCATCATCATCGTCACCACCATCATCATCATCATCAACATCATCAACATCATCATCATCATCATCATCATCATCGTCGCCACTCCGATCACCATCAGCATCACTATCATCATCAACTACATCATCATCACCACCATCATCATAAGCATCATCATCATCATCATCATCATCATCATCATCATCATCATCATCATCATCATCATCATCATCATCGTAATAATAAGCCGCTTTGGAAACTCGAAGGCCAGCCAGGAAGCCGGGCAAGCATCGGATCGACAGATCGGATCGCATCGAAAGGGGCATCGAGCCAGGCCGCATCCGGCCCAGAGCCATAGTCCGAGATGGACCGACCGCGCCAGGATGCCCAGCAACTCCGCGCAGGGAGGACACTGGGCAACTTCGGATCGGCGGAATACCGGCCTCAGATCGGATCCGAGCCGGCCGGAACCGGCACCGTCGATCGGAACGACATGGGTCCCGTTGGGCGGCTGGGGGTCCATTCTCTGCCACGGGGGCGAGCGAGGTCTCCGATCGCAGGCAGGCGGCTTCTGAATCACCAGAGGAGGAGGAGGAGGGAGGGCGGTGACGCTTTAGGTGTGTGCGCGTCCTGCAGCCTGCCTATAAATGAAGGAAAACAGGCGGTGGGAGGGAGGGAGGGAGGAGGTGGAGTGTACCCAGGAAGGTCGTGGTCACCACTCATTAGCTGCTGCGCTACTGCTGCTGCTGCTGCATACGGAAGGGGAGGACGAGGAAGCGATCCCCAAGCGACCTCCTGTGACTGAATCGCACCGGGATGTGTTCGTTACTTGCACTCTTCCCCGGGTGCCTCGGCCTCGGGGGGGAAATTCTGGGATAAGGAACCGCTTGCGCTTGCGCGCGCGGCGCCCCACTCAGGCCGGGTGGGGGGGCCAGGCTGGCCCTGGCCCAGGACCCAAGGAACCCACAGAGGACGTGCGCGCCCAACCACGCGCATGAATGCGGCCTCCCAGTCCACGAGACCAGCCTCGCGATGCGAATGCTTGCACAACGCGCAGGACTCTCGAGCCCAACGTGGATTCATGCACGTGCGCGTCCTCCTTTCGCTCCTCAGGACTGGTGGGTGCATACCTTCCTGGCCGAGCCGGGAGGGCGTGTGCGCCCACCATGGGCACAGGACGGGCCTGGCCGGGATCGGCGCAGGTGCACACAGTCCAGCTGCAACAACCAGGGACGCGAAGTGGGGAACGACGGCCCCCTGTGCGGCCCCAGGAGCGCCTGGGTGCACCAGGAGCGCTGGAGGAAGAAGAATGGGAGGACCTGCGGTCAGGAGCTCTGGGATCACGGGTCGCCTCTGCGGCCGCAGCGACACGCCATGCCTCGCGAGCGGACAGCGCGTCGCTCCGCTCCGCGGGGCGGAGGCTCGGAAAGGCTCGGGACGTGATGCCTCAGGACCGCGCAGTGGATGGCGTGTCGCGCCGAGGCGTGGTGGGCCAGACCCGGGGCAGCGACGCGTTGTCCAAACATTCCTGGCCGTTAAGAACATGGAGAAACCATCAGGTAGCGGTGCCGCGACTCTCTGGACCTCCCAGATGCGCTCTGACCAGGATTTCGCGGTGAATCCAGCGGTGGCGACGAGGGCCTCCCAGGAAGCCCCAAAGGAAGAACAAGAGGGAAGAGTAGCGGTAGAGGTACCTTTCCCCTCCTCCGAGAACAACGAGCCCCCTGCGAACCTGAACTCTCCCTCATTTCAGCGGGCTCACCGCAGCTGGCGCCCCCGCTCAGGGAGCCGTCGCGCCGCCGCACCTCCGGGGAATGCTCGGGGGCAACTCGTGGGAGCCTCCCCAATGCCATCTTGCTGGCTCTTCCGGATCGACGCTGACCGACGCGAGCCGACGCTAATCGACGTTCGTCGACGCCAAATCGGCGCCAACTAAAGCAAAAGCGGAGCTTACCGTCGCCCACCAGGCGCTAGCGCACGCTCGTGCACTCTAAAGGCGGAATTGCGAGGACGTGCAAAGGGCTCCCAGGACTTGCTACCGAAGGAGGGCGTGCCCCGCCCCGCAAGGCGCCCGAGGCTCGGTGTCTTCGACACGGCCCTGCCTCGGACAGCGGCCCGCTCTGCCCTCCTGCCCTCCTCCTCCTCCTCCTCCTCCCCGCGCCCTCGGTGCTCCTCCACTCCTCCTGGCTGACGGGCTGCTGGTTGACGTATGTTCGGCCCGCCGTTCCCGAAAGGCCCAACGCGGGCTGAGGCGCAACCCCGCCTGGAGGACCACAGCTTGGGAACATCTCCCTGGAATTAGGCGCCCACTCGCCCGCAGCGGGCTTCATAAGTCCTCCACTTCTCCGGGCGGGGGGGGGGAGGCGGGAGGATGGGACTTATCGGACGAGCGTCTGACTCGCGACACGTCCTATTGTACAAACGTCCGACGTCAGACGTTCGTCAAGTGCAATTGTTTCCCCCTCCCCCCCCCACACCGTCGGCGCGAAAGATCCGCGACCGACTGCGACCGATGTTGAAATAAGTCGGTCGCGACCGATCTTGGAATTCGAAGCAACATCGTCAGCAACCGACCTCGTCGGTCGCGAACAGAAGAAATCAGTACCCAATAATGATGAGGACTTCATACTGGAAACCATCGATGCAATAACATCATAGGTCAATTATATTATCCCAGGGGCAGTCGATGAGTTTGGGCTCGGAAGGGTTGTAGGGTCTTTCCTTCGGTTCAACATTTACGTGGCGTCTATGTGGTGTAAGCTTTGTGCATAAAATGGCATGCGCCCGAGAGGCGCCCGCAACCGGCCACGGACGACAACGTGGCGAAAAAGTCTGGACACCGATCCAAAACACGAAGCGTTCACGAGGCACCCAGTGGCGGCAATGCGGCGAAACCTCGGTACACCAATGCAGCACACGAAAAACTCACGAGGCACCCACGGGCGGCAAATTTGCGAAACCTTGATACGTACACCCATCCGATTCCGAAGGTTCACAGAATAAGAACCCTTCCGCACATGTGCTGCTTGGGAAAGCGATGTTCCTGCTGCAGCGTGGCCTCATTTCATGATCGGCGCGTTGCTCCAGTCGTTCAGGGACACGCTCTCACACCAGGGCGGACCAAATTTGTGGATGCGAGTCCTTCTTGGTCGTTGTCGCCCCCCTTCTTTTCCCTCCGCCTTCCCCTGGTCCTTCTGCTCCTCCCGCTGCCGCTGCTCCTACTCCTCATCCTTCCCCC